ACTCGATGATCTTAGAGGTCTTTTCCAACCTTAATGATTCTATGATTCTATGATTCTAACTGGACCCCAAAATCTCTTTATCTTCCAGGGGAGGACTGAGTCTCCTCTCCTGTGCACACATACTCTGCAGCAATGGAATTGCCTTTCCCTTCGCAGGGACTGCTCTGTGGCTGGTTTCCAACTAGCCTGGGTTCCCACCAAGCTACAGTTCCTCTTGCTCCCAGTTCCGTGCAGAGAATATTAGCTTAAGACAGGAGCAAAGAAAGGAGAAGCTGAGAATGGGACAGCAGAAGAAAGCTGAATACAGCCACTCAGGGAACGTGTTTTGGCATCACAATGATAGAGATTGCAGAGCACATAGTCTGATTTGTGCCACTGTCCACATTAGCTGAAGTTCAGATTTTTAAACCTTTCAAGACATCCAGTCAGCATAATTTGTTAAAATTACTAGTGTGGAAAAAGGGCAAGTCCTGCACCCATTATTGGTAGCTAGGTCAGAGCTTCAGTAACTCTGATGACAAGCAGTGAAGGCACGGTGGACATTTCTGCAGCAGTTAAGAGCTCTAATATGGTCGTTAGGCTAAAAGAGAATGACTAAACCTTTACACAGCAATGGTTAAGAGAAGGTAACCCATGGCATCCATTAGAAAATTAATATTTGCCAAGACCTTTTGTGCCACAGCTATTCTCTTTTTGGAATGCAGGACACACTCTGGTATCTCTAATTTTCTCTTGCAGCTACCTGTAAGGCTGTTAGGCCTACACAAATGCAAGCAAGGATAATACCAAATAGTTTTGTTTTGTTTTTAACAATTGATAGGGAAGAGCATTTGGATAACAACACTCCTTTCCCGGGGCTTTGTCTTGCTATGAAGGACACTCATTCAGAGCTTTGCGGTAATGCGCTAATAAGATAGAAACTTTGCTCAGAAATAAGCCATGTAGTATAGCAAGGCTACGTGTGTGTACATGTATAAACAGTGATCAGCTATAGCTTGGCCTGAACCCAAACAGGATACGAATTATAACACATTGTCCATATTTTTCTTTTTAAGCTCAGAGTGAAGCAAGCTGGAGTGAGCATTCAAAAGATCGTACCTGGCCTTCAGACCACGGGCATCTGCTTGGATCACTATTTCAGTATCGTTCACCCAGAAGTACCCTTCACCATCTCTAGCATTCAGAAATTCATCAACAGCCAATTTGTTTTCCAGACTAGAAGAGAGATGATGCCAGAGTCATGGAAACAACGGCCAATGCTAGAGCTGAGAGGTACTTCACTGTTTTCAGTAGCATAAGTGTTCATAATAAATCAGGAATTATGCTGGAGTTGAACCAGTGCCTTTCTGTGGACTCCTGGCTTCACATAAGTCCTATAAATGGCCTCGTCTTTGTGCAGTGAGGAGAGGATTAGATGGTTCTGTTTAGAGAAATGGTACTTGAAGATGCTTGTAGACAAATTCTGCTATTACCTCACCAAATTTTGAAGGCTTTCAGTCAGAAATAACAACTGCTCTCCCGTTTGAAAGGCTTGGAAAGATAGTGGTTTTCTAACGCTGCAAAACCCACATCTTCCCTGAGTAACGGGGACAAGGCCAAGGGAGGATTAGATTGTTTTCTGAACCACCTGTGGCCTCAGTTATTCACAGAGTCGCAGAATTGACTCAACTCTAGTTGAGTTTGGAAGGGACCTCTGGAGATTGTCTAGTCCACCCCCCCCTCAAAGGAGGGTCAACTAGAGCAGGTTACTCAGGACCATGTCTAGCTGGGTTTTGAATATGTTCAAGGATGGAGACTCCACAACCTCCCTGGGTAACCCATTCCAGTGTTTAACCACCCTTACAGTGAAAAGGTTTTTTCTTACGTTTAAATGGAATTCCTGCCTTTCAGTTAGTGCCCGTTGTCTCTTGTTCTTTCACTGATACCACTGAGAAAAGTATTTTTTACTCCCTCCTATCAGGTATTTATACATATTGATAAGCTCCCCCCTGAGGCTTGTCTTCTCTAGGCTGAACAACCCCAGCTCTCTTACCTTCTCCTTATATGACAGATGCTCCAAGCCTTCCCAAGTCCTCCATCCTTCTTGAAAACAGGAGTGACGTTTACTTTCTTCCAGTCCCCAGGAACCTCCCCCAGTCACCATGGTCTTTCAAAACTGATTGAGAGAGGCCTCGCAAGGACGCTGACCAGCTCCCTCAGCACTCCTGGATGCATCACACCGGGTCTCGTGGTATATCCACGTGTATATCCAATTTGTTTAAATGTTTACTAACCTGAACTTCTTGTGCCGACGGTAGGTCTTCATCGCTCCAGACTTTCCCACTGGTCTCAGGGCCCTGAGATTCCTGAAGGGCGATTCTTACCAGCAAAGGCTGAAGCAAAGAAGGCACTGAGTGCCTTGGACTTTTCCATATCCTTTCTCAGCAGATCCCTTGCCCCATTCAGCAGCAGGCCCACATTTCCACTAGTCTTCCATTTGCTGCTCATATACCTTCTCCAGGTGGGTTTTGGCTTTTTCAACCCTGTCTCTTCCTCCGGGGTGACTTGACCCAGCTTTCACCTCTTGTATTCTTTCTTTTTTATATTTGAGTTTAGTCAGGAGCTCCTTGTTCATCCATGCAGGCCCCTGCCATGTTTGCTTGACTTTCTGCACATCGGGATAGACCATTCCTGAACTTAGAAGAGGAGATCCTTGGAAATCAACCAGCTCTTCTGGACCCTTCTTCTTTCCAAGACTGTATCCCATGGGATTCTTCCAAGCAGATCCCTGAATGAGACAAAGTCCAGTCTCCCGAAGTCCGGAGTTGCGATCTTACTTTTTTGCCTTGTTCACCCCTCGCAGGTTCCTGCACTCCACCATCGCACAGTCATTGCAGCCAAGGCTGCGCCCAGCTTTCACATCCATAGTTCTTCACTGTTTGTAAGTATCGGGTCTAGCAGGACACCTCCCGTCATCGGTCGCTTGTGTCAGGAAGCTCACCTGTGTCAGTGCCTCAGTGCACTCCAGATATCTCCTGAACTGCTTGTGCCCTGCTGTGTTGTCTGTCCAGCAGATATCAAAGTAGCTAAAGTCCACCGTGAGGCCTCTTGTCTTAAGGTCTCATCTACTTTTTCTTCCTGAGCAGGGCATCTGTAGCAGACACCCGTCACAACGTCACCCACATTGGTCTGCCCTCTAATCCTTATCTGGAAGCTCTCAGCTGGCTCATCATGCAGCCCTAGGCAGAGCTCCACGCATTTCCCTTGCTCTCGCACATAAAAGGCAGCTCCCCATCCTTGCCTGCCTGTCCTTTCTAAAGAGTCTGCGTTCATCCTTTGCAGTACTCCAGGTGTGCGAGTAAGCCAAGAGGGCCAAGAGGCCCACCAAGCCTCTACGATCCCAATGACGTGGTAGCCCTGAAACTGCACGCAGACCTCTAGACTACCCCACCAAGCCTCTACGATCCCAACGACGTAGTAGCCCTGAAACTGCACGCAGACCTCTAGTTCCTCCTGGTTTTTCCCCATGCTGTGCACGGTTGTGTACAGGCACCTCGGAGAGGTGCCCAGTCACGCCCATTTCCCAGAAAAGGTACGAGAGTTTCCCCCGTTACGCTGCCCCGTGTGTTTTTCTTTGCGGAGGTTAGAATCAAATATATAATGTAAGGCATTACTCGGGCGATTCCTGCAACGTGGTTGTATCGTCGCTCTTGGTTTTGGTTAGGATTCAGTGCCAGTTGCCCTGTGAATCTCCCCAGCCCTCAGCTACGGCCTTCTGCTTCACTGGGGACCTGTGGAAGGGACACGACGCCAGCCCTCAGAGCCAGCTTCTGCTCGTGGAGCCACCGGGCTCAGCACGGAGATGCACTGAGCTGCGTAAAAGTAACTGTCCGTGTCTCACCTCCCCATAGCTCTACGCGTCAGCCTATGCACCCGACACAGAATCCCTTTGCACCGCTAAGAATTTTCTTTGCCAAAGAAATTACTGCTTTGCACGTGGAGCAACGTTTTAAGCGCAGCCACCCAGCACAGGCAATGCCCGTTCACAGACCTCGGGTTGCATCTTTGGCGCATGCGGACAGCGACGAAAAGGCGGGGTGAACGTTCCCGCAATAACACACCGCAAGCATCGCTCCTGCCAGCGCGCGCTTCCCGTCTGCCGGGCGAGGGGCGGGAAGGGGCAGGGGACGAGGGAAGTGCTGAGGCAAAGGCCTGATAACATTGCTACAGCTGGAGGAAAGAAATGGCTTCCCCTGCGCCTCCACGCATTTCGATTCCTAAAATGTGAATGCATGATTCATTCTTAATTTATGCCTTTGAGGGGAGTTATTTCCTACTGGCTGGGTTTCAAATGTGGATAAAAATAGATTAGTTAGCCGTGCTTTTATTTTTTGCAGTCGCATTTTCAGATTCGGATTTCTGTCTTTACCACCCCCACCCCCCCACAATGTTACGTAAGAGTTTACCAGTTAAAATTATTTTAGCAAAAATGATATTTTATTATTTGCTTTATTTTTACTGGGAGGAATGAGTATGGAATGATTCTCTGCTTCGTGTAATTAACTATAACGACATTTGGTTTAAGTGTTCTGTGACCTCAATTTTCCTTCTCTGAACTATATAATACGACCTAATTTTCCCTTCTCTCCTTTCACCTTTACATAATGAGTGTCAAATCTGGTATTCCTGAGATTCAGAAAAAATTAAGAGTTTAGGGAGACCTTGAAAAAAGTGATGTCACCAAAACAAGGAACTTTAACTAGTCACAGGTACAATTTTACATCCTCTTATGCTGTCAGGGTTAATTCACATGGTCTCTCTGATGTTCCAATCCTGTTAAGTTTTCAAGCTGCTCATCGAGTTGCCCTGGGGGTGGGATGAGAGAGAAAGAAAGAAATAGGAATTCCTGGATTGCTGTTCAGAAACCAAGGGTACTTATGAAGCAAATAAAGAATAATAATAATAATATAAAAAAATCAAACCCATAACCAAATCTCAACAAAGAAAACAAAAACTCAATCCCCCACCAAAAATCCCTTCTACCTTTCAGGCATTTTTGTCCCTGCTTATTTAGATGATCATAGTGACTGAAAGCTGCAGCTTCCAGGAAGGAAGGCTCCATTGACTTTCCTGGGGCCACGTTTTACCCACTGTGAAATTAAACTTTAAATGTTTCACTTAATCATTGTGAGTCTCAGTTCCCCTGTGCATGACGCTGACTGGCTTCAGGAACAGCTCAAGAACGGAGAGGAGAGGAGAGGAGAGGA